CTTTAAAAGATAGAAATGCAAACATATTTGTAGAGTTTTGTGAGAATAAAATGACTTTCATTATTTATTTTGTTATTCAACCCTCCTAAGAGCATCCTTTCCTTCTTATTCTAATAATTCATTAAAACAATAAATGAGTATTCGGATTAAACTAATGTTTGATTATTCTTATCATCATTTGCTGTAACATCTCTAGTCTAGCTGAGTTGAAACTAGGTTTATCATGCTTATTCATTCCCTGAAAAATCAACAAAGCGAAAAGGCCTTTGGCATATTTTGAGGGTTTTGTTGCTCTTCCCATCGTCTTATTGATAAGGTTTATGATATAAACTATAACGTGCCTATTTCAGGATATACCCGGAAAAAGTAATATGCAAATATGATTCTCAGATTTTTTATTGTTCGGCGTTTCTCCTCTCTCTTACGAATGCTCTGACATGCTATTTCTTAATTCATGAGTAATCTGTTATATCGATTGCTGTTACTGAATTCTTTATCCACTGTCGCCCCTTTTGATGCCACTTTTATTATATTTATGAATTACAAAAGAAACAGGAATAATCTCGTATAACAATTTTGTTTTCGATCAAACATCACTACAAACTGAAAGCATGTACAATCCAAAGCCTAATGAAGAAGAAGAAAAAAATTGATGTACAATAAAACCTGAGAAAACCGAACACCCATGGGCCTGTAAAAAATGTCCGGTTTGGACAGTGATCCGGTTTGGAGAGGGTGGGCTTTTAACACAGGCTGCCTATTGAAATGGGAAGGGACTGAGAATATCGTCCGGAATGGACAGTGATCCGGTTTTCTCAGGTTTTACTGTAATAGATTTTGCTTCTGGAAGAGAAAATCCATGTTCCTAAAGCAACACTGAAAGTGTGAGGAAGAGGAGCGGAAGGGAAGCCACCCAAGCCAGCAATGGGACTGGAATGTAAACCACTAATTCCAGTTCGAGTGAAATCCACGTTTTGATTGTTGGAAAGGAAATCTGCGCCATTTGTAGCACCAAGCGCGCTCTCTGATCCAGAGCCAGACGATCTTTCATCCTCAGCCTCGCTAACTCCACCAAATGGGTTGACAAGACCTAGTCGGTTTCCGTATAAGTATTTTAGACACCTTGTTTTTCCATATGAATTTTCAAAATATGCCCCAGTGCCGTATGCGTAGTCCAAGTAACCTCCATTTCCGTATGTCGGTCCTGGAAAATGTCCCAGTGATAGTCCGTGATTGACAAGGGACGTACCGGTGTCATAAAGACCACTGGGGATGAAACCACCGTGAAGAGTGCCGTGTTGCGAAAATCTTCCAAGTGGCGTCCCGTGGGCAAATCCCAAGTAGCTACTCGCAGCGAAGGCGTGGGAGCACAAACGAGCAGTGCTCACGGAAATCAGGAATATTTCCTGAATATTATAACCACATTATTTAGGTTTAAATACCAGATGACTCATTTTTAAGCTACGTAATTCTTTTGTAATTATCATTATAGAAACACGAACAAACACACGGATAGTTTGGAGTCAAGCATATACATACACCCTTATATACACACACAGATAAATACCACTTTCATATATAGATATATACAAAAACATGTACACGTACGCAGGCACACAGTGCACACACGTAGAGAGGCACTTGTATATCTACTTTTTTACTACACGCTTATACGCATATGTGGACAAACATATACATGCGGGGAAACACGTCCACACGAATACGCATCACATAATATTCACAAACTCATAAACATCTGTACCTATACAAACATGCGAACGCATGCACATTAAAACCATCCACACGTGTAAGCGGAAAAAAACACGAGTATACACACAATGTAAACACGTACACGCGTACACAAGCATGCAAGTACACACTCGCACACGTACACAACACACGAAAATACATACTTGCACAATATATACACATAGAAAGCAAATGCATACATATATGTATGTACATGTCTATGTGCACACACGCATAGATAAAGTACACACTCGCACACGTACACAACACACGAAAATACATACTTGCACAATATATACACATAGAAAGCAAATGCATACATATATGTATGTACATGTCTATGTGCACACACGCATAGATATATACAAAAACATGTACACGTACGCAGGCACACAGTGCACACACGTAGAGAGGCACTTGTATATCTACTTTTTTACTACACGCTTATACGCATATATGGACAAACATATACATGCGGGGAAACACGTCCACACGAATACGCATCACATAATATTCACAAACTCATAAACATCTGTACCTATACAAACATGCGAACGCATGCACATTAAAACCATCCACACGTGAAGCGGAAAAAAACACGAGTATACACACATTGTAAACACGTACACGCGTACACAAGCATGCAAGTACACACTCGCACACGTACACAACACACGAAAATACATACTTGCACAATATATACACATAGAAAGCAAATGCATACATATATGTATGTACATGTCTATGTGCA